CTCCATGGAATGAAATTTGTTCCAGTCAGCTTCGTTGTAGTAAGAATCATCCCTGGATGATCTGAGTTGTGCAAGAACAGAGGATCTTGCTTATACGTTTGCTCTTCTTCGTTAGCCATTTTCGTCTCAGATTAGGTGCTGGATGAATGATAAAGCACAGGCTCCGATACCATGTAAAGCTAATGGCGAGAGAATGAAAATGAAGAAGAAGAAGAATATCTCGTATTTCATCATCATAACAGGAATACAGAAGCAGTATTTAAAGAGGCATATGAGCCCATCTAACAGAATGCTAACTAACTAACAAGAAGATAACAAACCCCAACTAACTAACAAGAAAGCTGGTAGCCCAAGATATTTGTTGTGGCCCAATATGTATTACATACAGCCCAATATACTCTACATTATGTCATTCTAAAGAATAGTTAAAGTAAATAAGTAAAGAAAGAAGATATGTTTTGACTCTGTAAATAGTGAAAGTGAAGTTTATTGAGGGTGAAAATTATTGAGGGACTGGGTAATAATCAAAATGGATGCTCTAACATTAAGTTATCTGGTTAAACTTACTAACCAATCCAGTGCCGGCATTATCACGTAACCAGGCAGCATCCGAATACCGCTCTTCCTCCACTGTGTCCTGCATTCGAGTTTCAAAAACATATAGCCATCAATGAAAGAGAACATTATTTAATGCAAAACAATCGAACATTAATTGATGCAAAACACTAATTAATGTATAATCAAGTGTGAATAACAGTAAAGAAACAAACAATCAAGATTTGATTTTTTAAAAAGTAGAGAGTTGAGGAACTCCTACATTGAATTGAGACTTCACTTTGCCTACAGTGTCATTTGCAGCAGCAGCAGCTATAGCTACCTTAAGCCTCGCCGCCCCTTCATAATCTTCTCTATTAATATATCCAGCTAACTGTGACTGCAGAACAAACACCTCCATCAAAATCATCACAAAATTTATCTTATGGATGAAAAAATGGCAGTGAAAAATACCTTTAAATTCGAAATAATGCGTTCCTGATCCTCCACCTGGGAGAAATGATCTTTCCATCGCACCCAATCCCATTCCTCCTCCTCTTCAGCAACCTTCGCCTTGACAATTCCGACGCTCTCCTCATTCCGCTTTGGACTCACGAATTCATTGAATCGCTTCATCACATTCTTAACCGCCTCCAAAATCGCCAGGTCCCACTTCCAGCTCGGGCCTTCTTCTGACTCCGACGGCGACGGATCCGCGCCGCCGCGGATGCAGCGGCAGCAAACCGGTGACTTAGCGCTGCAAATCGAGGACGAACGGGCAAACGGAGGAACAAATTTCTCGTTGGAGAGGACAAGCCTGTGGTGGTGCGGAACAAGCCGCGCCGAAGGGGGCGGAAATGGCGGAGGAGAAATTGAAAGCATCCCTAGGAATCAACGGAAGGCGGTTATTCTAAAGACGCAATAGACTACCGTGCATCGCCGATGAAGATCGGAATGAATAGCATTATTAGCATAGGATAAGGATCATCCAGCTTTAACAGTTTAGTCACCCTGTCCAACTTGTACTAAGTAATTACTGCTCATATTGTTTGACGGTCATTAACTTATTGACAAAGTGATTTTCACAAAAGCTAAAACAAAAGCACATCATACCTGCTTCTTCGAAACGGTGTTCTATATACAAAATAGTGGTTGTGATAAGCAGAAGTTGACGTGCCAAATAGAGTAAAATCACTTATATTCAAAGCAGAAGCTAAATTATTAAAAGCAACACACTGCTAAACACCCTCTTACATTATCACCCTATAAAAATTTGTGAAATTTGTACTGAATAGTATTGAAATATAAGTCATTTCTCAACATAAGGTTTAAACTTTTATTCCCTAAATAGGACTTAATAATGACTAGTGAGAAGAATAATAATTTTCAAGTGTTGCTAGACATTTAGTTGAATAATGACTAATAGATAATGACCAATGATCCTACATTAGGAATTAAAAACATATGGTCTTGTATTGAGAAAGTCATTATCTTTTAGTCCTATTTAGATAAATTACTCATAAAATTTCACCAAGATACAATTTATATTTTTTGTCAAAATACATTATTACCCAGATACAACTATGTTTTCATCATACACATTTATATTTTTTACCGTGACTTATGTTTTCATTGTACAAGTTTATATTTTACCACACATATTTATGTTTTCACCAAAATATAAGTTATGTTTTCACTGTACAAAATAATGCTTTCATTAAAATACAACTTATTTTTTCACCGAGATCCAACGTAAATATGGTGTCGAGATGGATTTACTGGGATTCGTGAAAGTAGAAATCATCAATTTTGTGAATGGAGCACTGGACTGGCACACTTACCCGGCGGTGAAGGAATCAAACCGTACAAATAAAATTGTAGATAAAAGTTATGTTTACTTCGATTTTTTGTGATTTTTATTTTTCTTAAAAAACTATCTACATACATAATCATTGTGGTCTTCCGTAACTATTAAATTAGTACATTAATTTTTAAATAATAACAAAAAATACCTCATGTGGTCAAATAACTCGTACATAGTGTTAGAAATTTGGGAGTGTGGTAATCTTGCGTATCAGGCTATCAGCGTTATGTAAAATAGTATATGAATAAGTGTGAACAATCTTGATAGAGTAAATGAATCGAGTGTTAAATTTCACATCAAGGCTACTTTGGATATACCAGAATGTTCAAATCGGATAAGACGTTCATATCTAGAATAATGAGTATGGAAATTCAATCGTTCTTTCAAACATACTATGGGATTTCGTGTGTGTGCGTGTGAGACAAATTAATCGAACGCGTCTATTGACGAAACAACACAACTTTACGCAGATCATTTGAGTGTTTGGCCACAACATTCGAATGTATGCAACAGTAATGCTAAACATATCATTTTAGCGATTTTCTGCGCGAAGTGTTGTATCTTATCACGAAACATTCGAATGCTTACTACTAAACATTTGAATGCTATGTGCAATTTTTTAAAGGTTGCTAAAGACAAACTTAATTGAATAACGTTGTTTTAAACCGAAGTATAATAAGAATTTGTGAAAAATATTTTTCCAGAGTTCAGTTATGTTCTTTGTCTTTTATTCATATACTTCATGTTATCTACTCTTTATTCTCGTCATACATTTTTTTTGTTAAGTGATTTTTCTTTAGAATTGCAAATGAAGTAGGAGTTAAAAAGAATTACTGAATTGCCTTAAGAATTTAAAGATAATGAAAAAAACATAAATGTTTGGCTATTGTATTGCAGGAGTTGGTTTGTTCAAATATTCGATTCAATCAATATAATTTGCTTTGTTATTGTATTTACTATTTATAAACGTTTATTTATTTTTTTAAAAATTACTTTTTGTTACATTGTAAGGTTTAGTTAGTCGATTCAATAGTTATTTTGGTGTTGCATCATTAAAAAGGTTGTAATATCGATCTGATTTTTTTACTAAAATTTGAATTACCTTGTTAAAAGAGCATTACTTTGTTAGTGCTTATCGAGTTGGTGTTGTTACAACTTTTTTTAATACTTATAAATTTTTATTTTTAAAACTAAAAACATCGAAATAAAATGAAATAAAAACCGAATAAAACAAGACTAAAGTTAATGGTTTACATATTTTTTGAGCAAAATTGAATTGAAATGGATCACAAACTTACTTTCTATTTTGTCTTCGATTTTAGGTGAATACCAAACCAGTGAAATTAAACCACCAATTGCAATACCAAGTATCAAAAATCAATCTCATCCGCTTTTGACTAGATCGCTTTCTCGGTTTCGTATTACAAACCTTGCACAAGAGACTTTTTTAAATTGGTGTTTATCTATGGCCCTGTTTGGCATCAGCGTCAGAGATTAGCGTTAGAGTTTTGAAAAAGCTATCCGACGGTAGCCTTTAGCGTTAGCGTTTTCAGAATTAATATGCACCGTTAAAATTTTATCCAAAACGCTAACGCTAATCGAAAACACTGTTACCAAACAAAGCATATGTCTATAAGCTGTTTTCAACTTATAAGTCAACTGATAGATACTCTGTATGTTTCTACGTGTTTATAAGGTGCTTGTAAACTAAAAAAATAAGTAGGTCTTACTTAATAATTTTAAGCTAACTTTTTCATTTATCCATTTTGTCCAAATTATTTACATAATTATTGCACCTCATTTATATAAATTGTCAAATGACTAATCTATCCATTAAGCTAATTTACTTACACAAAAAATATTTAATTTATAAACAATTGATTATTAAAAACTACTTATTTGCAATAAGACCATGTTTTTTAGGACAGGAAAAAAGAGCTGGATGTTGGAAGAAACTGGAAGAAATTAGAAGAAACTAGAAGGAACACGAAGAAACTCAAAAATACTTCAAAAAAAATTGAAAAACCTAAAAAAAATTTGAAAAAATTATTTTAGTATATTTTTTTAATTCTCATTCTAATTCTTGTTGTTATAAATTATCATTATCATTATCACCATCATCATCATCACTATTTTCATAGTAAAAAAACTACCTTTGCAAAAAAATTACAATATAAAGTTAGCATAAATATCAAAATGTTAAATTTCAAAAAATCATTGTGATTACGTTGCATCTGAATTTATTTATGCAGTATTTAAAATAAAATAATATATTTGTAATTATAATTTGTATATTATAAGATTTTGTTTTAGATATAAGACATGTGACATAATGTAATTAAATCTATTTATTCATACATTTAATTTTTTATTGGAACTCCTATTTTTGTAATAAAGACATAGAACTTTTATTTTTATACATTTGTTTATGTTTTACTCATATTTTAGCCCTTTTTCTCTAAAATATTTTGACTTTCAATTTTTTTAATAATAATTAAAAAAATGAAAAACCAAATTAATTTTAAAATAAATAAAAATGATAAAAAATTGATTAATAATGGGAAAGGTGAGATGTCTTATACTTCCTCCGTCCCACAAAGTTTTACACATTTTGACTAAAGTAGAAATTAAAGGAGAGTTAATCTTGTGTTGACTTTCCAAAAATAACTTTGATTTGACGTGTAAAAGTAGGATGTGATGTGTAGATTATAAGGAAAAAAGTATGATGTGATAGGTAGGTTTTGAAAAAGGGGTAAAAGTGGTTTTTTAATAAAAATGGGTAAGAGATTGTGGAACACAATTTTTTTGAAAGGTATAAATCTTTTAAGGACGGAGGGAGTATAAATTTAAATTTATAAAACATTATATGTAACTATTTTATCCATTATTTTTTAATATAGTTTAAAATATTGATATTTTTTTATTTTATAATGAAGATTAATATAAACAAATTGTCTTATTCATATTAAAAAATTCAAGAAAAAATAATAATGAACGTGAATCGTAAAATTAGTGAGATGAAAAAAATTAAGAGATTAAGTTCAAAAAAAGACGGTAACAAGCAAACACGCCCTTAATTAAACCCTGCCCGAACACTCCAAAATCGCATCTGCCGAAACCCCCTTAAAAGCCTCGATCGTCTATTTCGCTCTTCCAAGAGCAGTACGGACGGCGATGTACTGATATCTATATCCAGAACTAGAGAAAGTGTCTCGAGATGTCGAAGGACGGAGACCTAGGCGAGAGTTCCCATTCCCGGCGTGTAGAGCAACCGCCGCCGGTTTCATCTGCGACTAGGGTTCGAGCCCGAGCAGACTCGTTCCTACTCACCTGTAGAGTTTTCAGCTTCGTCACTTCGGTGGCTGCAATTCTCTGCATTGCCGTCAATGTTTACTCCGCTTTCCGATCATTCAGAAACGGATATGATGTAAATAATCCGTCTCTGTCTCTAGTTAGGGTTAACAATTAGATTTCTCTACTTATTGCGAAATTTAAAAAAAACATTTGTTGTGACTTGTGATTCACTAATACCTCAGGTGTTTGATGGAATTTTCCGGTGTTATGCGGTTGTGATTGCAATGATTGTGGTTGTTGCTGAAACGGAATGGGGGTTCTTCATCAAGTTCTGGAAGGTTTGTCAATTGTAAACATTTCATACCTGGAAACAATTTATTTTCGTATTCATATGTTCATTCTGGCTTAAATGCTGATGTTTTTTTTCTCTGCATAAATGTGTATTTTCAAGTAATGATTAATTTTACACAGCTTGTTCACACTGTAACATTTATGCCATCACCCAACACAATTGGGACGATGGCCATAAATCTAGGTGCCAGGTCTGTGATGCTTATTTTTTACTTTATTTATTTCCGTGATGCATAGTTTCCTTAATTGATTTTCAAATGTGAAAGTGTTTAATTACAATGCGATGAATCATATTGCAGTCCCTGTTGATCTGAAGGGTCTATATGTGTTTCTAAAAAAGAAAAAAATAAAATTAGATTTGGTCATCAGATGGCTTTCCAAACCAAAGTACGATACTACTGGTCACAAGCCTACCTTTACTATGTTTTCATGTCTATCTGACACTTGTTGCCTGCTTTCTTTTCCATTTAGAAGTCAATGTCCCCTCTGATCCATCTTATTGTTAAAACTGATGCAGGTATTGGAATATTGGGCTGGAAGGGGTATGCTGCAAATATTGTATGTACGGCTCTTAACCCTAAAGTGTTATTATTGTTTTAGACCTTTATCACCTACTAACCCCACCAAGTCTGTCCCCAAAAAAGTCAGCATTCACCAAACTACAACCCTTTATTTTTTCAAACTGCTAAATACGCCCCACATTTAACCTGTAACTCATTTATTTTATTCCATTTAACTAGCATCTTTTTTACCCTAGTGTCGCTTCTTCCGACTCCCTCTAATAATAATTTTATTGTTCGTGAGTTCCTTTCAAATTGTTGTCTTATCATCACTTTCATATCTTCATGACTGTCGGTTCTCCCATGCCACATATGTCTCTTCATCATGGACAGTGTCTCACATCATCTCTTAATCATTGTTTTTGGGAAAAAGCTCAACTACGACTTCGGCGACCATTTCTCTAACCACTCACTATTGCCACTTGCTGGCATTGTTTTCTTACAGTTGGGTCTAGTTGTATTTTATTGTGGTAGAATACATTTAATTTTCTTTCATTTTTAAAATATGAAAGATAGCCGCACAAGTGTAAAATGTCCTTACATCTAGGATTTTTGAAATCTAGTGGAACCACAAATCTTCACACGTGAATAACATGAGATCAGAAACTATTATTGTGCTTCACACGTTGGGCATTGCTTTACAAGTTTTGCATCATATCCTCATCCATGTCGCCATAGTTGTTAATGGCGAATGGCAAGGGGCGGGTGAGAGGACTTTTTTTATGGCGAGAGGCGGACAGTCAAATGGCGAACATGTATGTATGTATGTATGTATGTATGTATGTATGTATGTATGTATGTATGTATGTATGTATGTATGTATGTATGTATGTATGTATGTATGTATGTATGTATGTATGTATGTATGTATGTATGTATGTATGTATGTATGTATGTATGTATGTATGTAGGTATGTA